TATATTGTATGTCTTCATATTTAGTTAGATATTTGGAATTATTTTTCACTGTTACTCTGTGCTGTATCTACTGTGGATCTGTTTACAATTTTTTTAAAGTATTCTTGCACTTGTTCTGCTGTGACTGCTGGGCAGTTAATTGGAATATTATGTTTTACTCAGGGTATTATAAAAACTTAATGAGTTTCTCCAGAGAGTAGCTGAGTCTTGTAAGCCAGGAAGGTTGCAAATTTGATCCCTTGCTCTCTGTTATCAGTTAATTTCAGTAATAAGTTTTTGACAGTTGACCTCAATATCTCTGGGTTTAGAAATAGAAAATATGTCGAAACTACCATATTAATTTTGCTTTAATGGCCTTGCTATATGTGTGGACATTAGATGATTCAGCTGCACTGTCAAACATTGTTGAGATTCCCATATGACTAGCGGAGAATCACATTCAGAATTTCACTAATTTTAGGATAGTGGGGGTGGTTGGGGAACAATTTGGACCTTTCTGACTAATTTGTGAGCTTATTAGATAGCAAATGGTCAGTATTATCTCTCTGAATTTGACCATAACTTCAGGATTTAGTGCAAATGCAGATTAACTTAGAAATCCTGGATATGCAGTCTTGCAACATAGACTGCACTATAGATGCTCCCCCTTCACTTACAACCACACAAAACTGGCAATCGGTGAGGTCAATCACTTATGCCAACCTGTCTAAACCTTTTCTTTTATCTACAGGGGATGGAATGCAATGTCTACTCTTATATTTTCAAGGAAAAATTGTATTTATGAGATATATACTTCCTATTATAATTACTACAATTCTGTTAAATAGGTGTTTAAATCCATTTAGCTTTATTAGTACTTCTAAACAATCAGCTAAATTCACCCAAGAAAATACAAGCGATTACTGAAGTGACTTTCCTTACATCAAACAGTAAATTATAGTACTGTATATTCTGTTTCTTTTTTTTTACATATGTTCAGTTATTTACTGGCTTTAGCACCACGTTTATTTAGGCATCTTTTTTTTCTCTTTAAGGGATACAAGAATTGCAATTGAAGATAAATATTCATATGTAAATATTATTATACTTGCCTCAATATTTAAATGTAAATTGTGTTGAGGTTTAAATGGAAAAAGTCGCTAGTGACTTAGAATGATTACCAGAAAAGGTTGTGCTATTTAGTTGGCCTTGTTTAATTAAATGCCGGCTGGCCTCACCACAGAGTAAATCTTAACCTTGCACTAACAGCACTTAATTGCAGAAAACAAAATAATAATTTATCACTTGAATTTAGTTTTCCTTTGAATATCAGTTTCTTTTGCCAATTCTCCTGATTGCTGAAGAAATTGAATTGTTGCTGGGATACCGTTCCCAAGATGCCAAGCATCTTGTGTCGGTGAACACGTAATTCACATGAATCTTTATAGTAAGCATTGGCAAGCTAAACACAGCCAAGCCCACCCAAAGTTCATTTACACGTGACCCAAAACCTCCTTGGTCTGTATGATTCAGCTGCTCGCTAAGCTGTTGAGCTAACTCATTTCAGGATGTTTGTAATTATTTTTATGCTCTGTAACTATAAATCATTTTAAAATATCTGAAGAAAAATGAATGAGTTGTCTGATGATTTCCACATTTACACTGATCTGAGGAGGTGTAACCAAATTTTCAATAATCCTAGTTACAACATAAATTATACAGAAATAAATAGCTGAGGAATATTTCTAATTTAGTTATTTGAGGGTTTGTCTTGTCAGGGGTACTTTAAAAATGTAAATTGAAATGAAATTGTATTGTTATTATGGGACTATTTGGGAGGAATGCACAGATTAAACTTAGACATGTTTGACTAATTCAATTGTGTATTTATGCTGCAACTAATGTAGTACTGTTTCAATTTGATTCCATACAGTGGTAACTTCTTTGCAATGTCAAATAGAATTTAAAAGTGACTTGCACCTATTGCATACTCATCTCTTATCCAGATTTGGATTAGAGAGTATGAAAACACTCCCCTTTTTATCTTGACATAAAGCTGACGTTTTGCTGGAAATTCAGAAACGACAGGCAGTTCCCCCGGTTGCAAACAGGTTCCGTCCTTGAATCTGTTCGCAATTTTTAAAAAATTCATTTTGTGGGATGTGGGCGTTGCTGGCTGGCCAACATTTCTTGCCCATCCCTAGTTGCCCTTGAGAAGGCGGTGGTGAGCTGCCTTCTTGAACTGCTGCATTCCTCTTGCTGTGGGTTGACCCACAATACTATTAGGGAGGGAATTGCAGGATTTTGACCCAGTGACAGTGAAGGAACGGCTAAATATTTCCAAGTCAGGATGGTGAGTGGCTTGGAGGTGGTGGTGTTCCCATATATCTGCTGCCCTTGTCATTCTAGATGGAAATGGTTTTGGAAGGTGCTGTCTGAGGATCTTTGGTGAATTTCTGTAGTGCATCTTGTAGATAGTACACAATGCTGTTACTGAGCTTCAGTGGTGGAGGGAATGAATGTTTGTGGATGTAGTGCCAATCAAGCGGGTTGCTTTGTCCTGGATGGTGTCAAGCTTCTTGTGTTGTTGGGACTGCACACATCCAGACAAGTGGGGAGTATTCCAGCACACTCCTGACTTGTGCCTTGTAGATGGTGGACAGGCTTTGAGGAGTCAGGAGGTGAGTTACTTGTCACAGTGTTCCTAGCTTCTGGCCTGCTCTTATAGCCACTGTGTTTATGTGGTGAGTCCAGTTGAGTTTCTGGTCAATGGTAACCACTGCGATGTTGATAATGGGGGATTCAGTGATAGTAACACCATTTGAATGTCAAGGGACAGGGGTTAGATTGTCTCTTATTGGTGATAGTCATAGCCTGGCATTTGTGTGGCGTGAATGTCACTTGCCACATGTCAGCCCAAGCCTGGATATTATCCAGATCTTGTTGCATGTGAACATGGACTGCTTCAGTGTCTCAGGAGTCACGAATGATGCTGAACATTGTGCAATCATCGGTGAACATCCCCACTTCTGACCTTATGATGGAGGGAAAGTCATTGATGAAGCAGCTGAAGATAGTTGGGCTGAGGACTCTACCCTGAGGAACTCCTGCAGAAATGTCCTGGAGCTGAGATATTTGACCTCCCACAACCACGACCATGTTCCTATGTGTCAGGTATGGCTCCAACCACCACAGTATATGCCCCCGATACCCATTGATTCCAGTTTTGCTAGGGCTCCTTGATGCCACACTAGGTAGAATGCAGCCTTGATATCAAAGGTTGTCACTCTCGCCTCACCTCTGGAATTCAGCTCTTTTGGCCATGTTTGAACCAAGGCTGTAATGAGACCAGGAGCTGAGTGGCCCTGGTGGAACCCAAACTGGGCGTCACTGAGCAGGTGCTGCTTGATAGCACTGTTGATGACACCTTCCATCACTTTACTGATGATCGAGAGGAGACTGATGGGGCGGTAATTGGCCGGGTTGGATTTGTCCTGCTTTTTGTGTACGGGACATACTTGGGCAATTTTCCACATTGTTGGGTAGATACCAGTGTTGAAACTGTACTGGAACAGCTTGGCTAAGGGAGCGGCAAGTTCTGGAGCACAAGTCTTCAGTACTATTGCCGGAATGTTGTCAATTTGTACACAACACAATGCAGGACAGAAAATAGCCATTCGTAAGTACAAAGAAATTTGTTACATGTCGGATCTTTAAAATTATTATTAATACACCCCTTTATGGAATTGTGTTTGTAAGTATGAGCACTCATAAGACAGATATTCATAAATCGGGGATCCCTGCATTGTCAGTGTTTCTGTGCTCCTCCAGTATTAGCACCATTAATGTCCAGATACCCATCACTACTAGATTCCATTAATCCCTAAATAATCATAGAAATAATGAAAATGTTTACTGTTACAGTGTAGAAGTCTTTGAAACTGTTATACCTTGTTTAGTGAAATGTAACTAAATATTTTATAATTTATATTAACACTTTGTTGGGTTTTTTAGCTCAAGTGGGCAATCCTGAGTGAGAATACACTGAATTCTTAGACATAGACTCCCTACAGCGTGGAAACAGGCCCTTTGGCCCAACGAGTCCACACCGACCCTCGGAGCACCTCACACAGACCCATCCCTTATAACCCACCTAATCTACACATCCCTAAACACTATGGGCAATTTAGCATGGCCAATCCACCTAGCCTGCACATTTTTGTGACAGTGGAAGGAAACCGGAGCACCCGGAGGAAACCCACGCAGACATGGGGAGAATGTGCAAACTCCACACACACAGTCGCCTGAGAGTGGAATCAAACCCAGGCCCTTGGTGCTGTGAGGCAGCAGTGCTAACCACTGAGCCACCGTGCCACCCTTCACTTTGGCTTTAAGTAAATATTTCATGAACTTCAAAATAAAATTATTTATTGATGCTCAAATGACTGAAGCATAATTCATTTTAGCTAAGTTCCTATTTTGTTCTGGATTCCTGGCCAATTCTGTCTAGTTTTGCAGTGAAATTGAGTGGTCACAGAGAAATCTGTGAATGAATGTAAGACATTTAAAAAGAGGAAATTAAAAAAACGTTTTTTTCCAAAAACTTCAAGTTCTGAGCTGTTTCTAAAATATTATGCAGAAAAAAAAGCATGAACTCATTATGAAAATAATAAAAGATGCTCTGTGGTGCAGAGAAACAATAAATCTTTGTATTTTTCTGTCCTTTTCATTGTGGACTGAAATGGGAAAAGAATTTTGAAAAACCAAGGATTGTGGAAGTGATTGCTGCATTTGTAAATGCAAATCACTGAAACTCATTCTAAGTGGCGATTACACTGCTGCTTTGTTCAACCAGTGGGGGAGGCTGGTTGCAGACAGCCTGGCACCAGAGGTGTATACAAAGTGAAATTTGGCCAGCAACAAACAGCTGATTATTGTTTGGCTCAAATTAGTAAAAACTGTCAATACCATGTGCCATCTGCCAGCCAATAAACTTTGACAAGTTCCTGGTTAGTTGAATAGCTTGTGGGTGTGAACAATACTGCCAGAAGTCTGTGAGCCTCCAAAAGGGGGAGGTAATGTGTCTCTCTGCAGTCTATAACACCTGAAGCCCAAAGAGAGCCAATTTTTTTCTCCCACCACTTGTAAATAGAGATAACAAGGTGTGGAGCTGGATGAACACAGCAGGCCAAGCAGCATCAGCGGAGCAGGAAAGCTGACGTTTCAGGTCTGGACCCTTCTTCAGTTGCCTTTAAGCCAGAAGTCAGTGACTTTAACATTTCTGAATCAGTCACTCTGAACCTCCTGTAAGGAAGTGAAATGTAATTGGAGAAGAGCGATCGAAGAACAGCAAAATCTGAAAAGTGAAAGTTTTAATGAACCATGTAGACGGGCCATTGAATTGCCTTCCCAGCTTTTCTCTCCAGCCATAACACCAATATTTTTATTCACTTAGTATATGCGTCAGGGAAGTTTTATAAGGGGTTATAGTTTCAACTAATTGAATTATATATCAGAAATCACATGACACCAGGTTATTGTCCAACAGAGATAGTAGGAACTGCCGATGCTGGAGTCTGAGATAACAAGGTGTGGAGCTGAAGGAACGCAGCAGGCCAGGCAGCATCAGAGGAGCAGGAAAGCTGACGTTTCGGGTCTGGATCCTTCAGAAAATTTTCTGAAGAAGGGTCCAGACCCAAGCATCAGGTTTCCTGCTCCTCTGATGCTGGCCTGCTGTGTTTCTCTAGCTCCACACTTATTGTCCAACAGATTCATTTGAAAACACAAGTTTTTGGAGCGTAGCCCCTTTGTCAGGTGACCTGACAAGCTTGTGTTTTCAAACAAATCTGTTGGACTATAACTTGGTGTCATGTGATTTCTGACCTTGTCCACCCCAGTCCAACACCGGCATCTCCACATCATGAATTATATATCAACAGTTCATAGTTATTTACCTGTAGCTATTAGTTGTTTATTTGTAATAGTTACTCCTGTAAATTCCAGAAACCTTGTCTGTTTTTTCTGTTTGCCTGGATCTAAACAGACAGGTACATTGAGGATCGTCAGTATACTTTGACAAAATCTTTATCTTAAATGAAGACTCTGGGAATGGTGATGTTTGATTTCTGTTGTGCTACCCCAATGAGATGTGACAGCAGACAGAAACAGTTAACATTTCAGGGCATGGGATAATGATTCATCTTTCCTACCGAAGTATGATATTTTTCACAGCATTTTGGATTTATGCTATTGGTTTAGGAGTTTACATTTGAAACTTTTCAGTTTGAATAAGTTTTGTTGGATCAAATTTCCTTCATATTCAGGAAAAGTTTAAAATCCAAGCTTTCTGTTGAGTTCTGTGGTGTACTTTATATGGTATCATACTGCTGAACATTTCAGAACTGTTTGACATTTTAGCAAATTGTTATC